GCCCAGCGTTTCGAGGAAGACTAACCGGAACAATCGTTTCCGATCTCGGCGGAAGAACAATCTTCTTGATGCTGTACACGTTCCCTGGTAACGCACCTTCCATAAAAAGTTCCTCCTGTCCACATTTCAAAACACCTTGCTTAACGTCGATCTCGCAACAATTATTCCTCATAAAGTCTAAGCCTAGGATGCAGTCGTCCATTATATCAGCCACGATGACATTATGCAGGTAGATCACGTTGCCTAGCTTCAACTCCATCTCCTTCTCTCCACGGACGGGTATACGCTGACCGGTGGCTGTTACCAAATTAAGGCGTTCTCGGTTGTATGCGGAGTCCCCAAGGAACTGACTTATAAGTTGGGAACTAACAACCGTACGAGAGGCTCCAGTGTCTATGGTCAGCTTACACGGCATTCCGTTGATCTCGCCCTTTATGATTAGGCTGTTCCCATCATGGGTTTGTGAGATCGAGATCCTTGGGGCTCTTTTAACATCAGCCAGCACCCGCCCCGCAGTTCTGGCTTTTACTCGTTTCCCTGCCGCTGCTGGGCGGTGCTGTTGGCCGCACTACCCTCCTGAGATCGTTCAATTTCCCTTTCTAGGGTTCGCTTAGGGCAGCTGGATCGAAGATGGCCCTTTTCCCCACAGCCATAGCACCTTGGGCTGTATCCTTTGTTGCGGTCGCGAACTGTAGCTGCTGCAACCTCCCTGACGCGATGGGAACGATGATCCTGCCGCACGGCTTCCACTTCCAGTGCATGGGCCAAGGCGTCCTTAAGCGTCTCGTGGTGCCCGAGCCTCACAGCAGCTCTGAGTTCCAGGTCGCGGATGCCGTCGATGAATGTCTGCACCAGGTTCCCTTCAATGAGCGCAGGTACAGACCGGTATGCTTTTCGAACCATCTTCTCCACCTCAAGGGCCCACTGCTGCAGGTTCTCGTTGCTGCGCTGCACGCGATCTTTAAGCTGCGCGCGAAAGACGTGTTCCAGATGAGCGTCGCCATATCTCGCTTCCAAGGCCTCAAGAAGCTGCTCATAGGTCACTTTCTTACCGAGAGCTTCCAACACAGTTAAGGCTTGGTCACGCAGGCCTAGGGTGAGTGCAGTCATGGCTTGGCTTTTATTCCAGCCGTTCGCCTCCATGACGGCCTCGAACTGGATTTTGTAGGCCGACCAGGAAGAGGTCCCGTCGAACGGCGGCACTTTGAATCCACGTAGCGAAGGTGCTGCAGCTACTACGGGAGCTGTAGTTCCATCCCCAAGTTTGAGGTCGTTTAGTGATTTCTTCATGTCAGCCACTACGTTGTCAACCCGATTGTTTACTTGGTCGATTCGGGTTTCAGCTTTCTCGATTCGGTTTTCAGCTTTCACGATTTGGGTTTCGGCTTCCGACAGGCGGTTGTCATGCTGAGCAACCCTATCCTTCACCTCCTTTATCTCCTTCCCGAAGGTAGCGTGAAGGTCCTTCATGAGGAGCATCTGCTCTTCCAACCGACGGGCCTGTTCCTCCTGTCCGTCCCGCAGCTGCTCTTCCAATCGGCGTGCCTGTTCCGCCTGCTGGCGAGCCTGTTCCTCCTGCTGCTCTTTCAACAGACGGGCCTGTTCCGCCGGAGGTTCCTCCTGCTGCCTTCACGACGGGCCTGTTCCTCTCGTCCGCGCTGCAGCTGCTCCTGTAGCATGGCCATCAGAGCACCTAAGTCAGGTGCTGCAGATGTAGGAGCTACTGACGGGCCCGCAGTCTCCGTGGCTAGCTGTTGGCCCTCCGACGTCTGCGGCGTTGCACCACCAAACCTCCTCTGGTCCGTCTCCTGCTGGCGTTGATTTCGGGTACGGACACCCTCCGTTTCCTCCTTAGGTAAAATCGGCATGATTTTATCCCACTTCTGACACCAATTGTTACGAGCTTGAGGTTCGTGACAATAAAAATTGCCGATAAAATTACCTAAATTAACACTTTAATTTACTTTACACAATTAAAGTTAAAACACTAATAATTTAAACACATTAATTCACTTAATTCCACTCCGAAGCTTCGCTTGTTTCGCCCAAATCAACACTGCCTCGATCGCATCTTGCAGCGCCTATATATTTGAATTAGCAAAGAAATATCCAGAATGTTCAAGTAAACACGCGGAAGGTATCGAGCGTTCGAGTTTCGACTAGGCGCTGTCAGTTGAGCGATTTGTGATGTCATTTTCTCAATGCTCCCCTCGCTCTCGTTCCTGACACTAGATGGCGCTAGTTGACTTATTCATGCAACACTATGTTTATCTCCACTCCAGTGGTTATAGCTAAATTACAAATGTGAGTTATGGGTTTGCTAAGTAAATTCTTGTTATGTTTAAGCAGGTCACCTGAGATATTATCCAATCCTACTGCACAACCTGACTTTAGATTAGATATAAGTAGATCGATTTCCTTCTCATCCGTTGGCAATAAAACAATAGATTTTGAAAAGGGGCCTATTTCTGTACGGGTTATTTTATTTAATTGAATGATCTCTCTAGCTAAGTTTTGACCTACATTAACAAAGTATGTGTTTATTTTATTTACTGAGGTTTTTGGGTCATCTGATATTGATAATAATTCAGTCGGTGAGTCTTTAGCTTTCTTTGAATGTGTTATCTTTTTTATGGTTTCCCATAATAATTTAGTATTATTACTTGTTTTAGATATCTCATTTTTTTTTCATAGTCTTTTTTAACATTAGCTAATATTTTGCCACAAAAATTTCTGTATCTTTTATATGTCAAATTTAAGACTTCATTATTTGGATGTTTTCTGACCTTTTTATGGAGATTATCCCTATTTCTAATGCATCTTAAAAGTCCTGGTGTTATCCATGGTTTTCTTACGATTTTTCGCTGTGATATATTAATAGTTTTGGTGTGGGAATCAATAATATTTGATAGTGAATTTACCAGATAATCAGTCGCAACATTAACATCAAACATGTTAAAAACTGGTGTAAAGTCAGTATTTTTTATTTCTAAGTATACATTATTGTAATTAGTGATTTTCTTAGTCAAATTAGTGCAATAATTATTATTTTTTAAATTTAAAAGCAAGATAACACAGTCATGATCTGTAATTATTGTCTGAGAAACACAGCAGATTGCTTTGTAATTCGTTTTTAACATAATATGATCCAAGCAGGTTCGATTGTGAGTGGGCAATGTATGTGCAAAAAGGATACCAAATGACGCTAATAAGTTGAAGTAGTTTTCGGCATGAGTATCTTTGTTCTGTTCACAAATATCTATATTAATATCGCCTGCGATAATTAGGTTTTTATATAAACATATTTTCTGTAATAAATAATTAAGAGATAAATTAATGCTTTTTGTTGTTAATGAATAAAGTACTTTATAACAATAGATGATACATAACTTTTTAATAATAGTTTATACATATATATCGATCATTATGAAAAAATTATAAAAAAATCATTATAAATAAGGAAAGTACTACATATAAAATGTGCCTATATATTGAAGGTTTGTAACCCCTGGTTAAGCAACCGAAAGGTCATTGTCCGTTTTTCTCAATCGATTAAGCACGAACTATAGTCCAATTATTTGTCCCAGTTAAGCATATTCATCAACAACTTCGAGCGTTGTGCTCCCTACAACTACCGGTCCGGCATGGGTGTGTGACGTGGACGTTACACATGATCTTTATTTTGTTTATGTTCTTCTTAAGACCTACCCGCCTATCCGTTGGGAAACACTATTGTTGTCATTGAATATAGTGCTTGGGTCCTCCAGCGACTTCGCCATGAGGACTATATCGTCGGCAAATTGAAGGTGAGTGATATACCCGCCCTTGATGTTAATACCGTATCCTTTCCTGTCCAGTAGTTTGAAAGTCTTTAGTTAGTTTCGAGGATATAACGTCACCCTGTCTTACACCTTTCTGCAGTTGGTTAGTTATTATATATATATATATATATATATATATATATATATATATATATATATATATAGGGTTCGTACTCTAGTTCTGTACTCGGATATCCATCGTAGCCGTACTGTAAAACCACTTCAACATTTCAATATACCGCCAGTCAACTTGGAACCGCTGTAGGGACTGTGCAAAAAATTATGGTAAAGTGGCTACTGCAACCCATGGACACTTGCGGTTAACTTCAAACGAAAAAGGTTACGTCGTTGTCACCTGTATGGACTGAGATGGAATGCCGCCTGTACCGTTACTAAGTAAGAGGGTGATAGCTATCCAGACGGACTCCCAGGCAAAAATGTCGACGTAGCACTTAGTTCATACATAAATTTCAAATTTTTTTTAATATTAAATTGCTGAAAAAAAGGGAAGGTGTGTTGTGATTTATATATAAATTAACGTTTATTTACTAAAACCTAACTGACTGAGATAGGAAACGTGTAGTAGTGTCTTGAATTTGAGGAGACACTACAAAGAGGTTCTCGGTTAGCAGTAAACGCGCAAACTTGTACCTTCTGGGGATTGAACTGGACTAGATAATGTGTTTCCGAGAAATATTCGCACGGCGGCCGCATAACAATGAATATTACTAGTTTGTAACATCACGTTGATGTGCAGAAGGAACAAGATAGGCGATAACACGTAGCCTTGTGCGTTAGCATCCACAGGCTTGAAGTCGAGGCATGCACCGATGACTATGTCCTCAATGCTTCGATTTGAGATAAAACTATTGATCCAATTTCGTAATTCTTGAGAAGCCCGAAATTTATAAAAACGGGGAATTTCCTTCTCAAAATAGATATATTTAGGTAAAACGCACCTACTAGCCATAATTTCGCTTTAAAACCTGAGATTTTGCAAGTACAAGCGGGATTTGTTTTGTCCACGAATGACGTCAGGCCGATAGCATGTACGTGAACGGTCTCTCCTATCTTTCTCACTCTAACACACGTGTACACTATGCTCTGTTTTGCATTGGCAATCTGTTGTAAGGTGATTTTATACTAGATATATATATATATGTGTGTGTATATGCGCAGGGGCAAGTGGAGCGGGCGGCGCGAGGAGCAGTGGCGGCAGGTGTGGGGCGAGCTGGAGGCGCTGGTGCGCGCGCACGCCGCTGCGCCCGCGCACCGCGCGCTGTTGCGCACGCTGCTCGACTGCCGCGCGCACAACCACGCGCCCGACGGTATGTGTGTGTGCGTGTGGCAAGTCCATCTAGTGAATTCCCCGTTTTATGTTCATATGCCTCTTGTATGACTACATGCCTCATTCTGGTTCGTGGCAAAATTGCGTGTGTGGCACGCAGCCGGATTCTTGTCGCTCGATATTTTTTAACTTTTTCACAGGGAAAACTATGTAGATATTTTGATTAAAACTACTTTTACGGATTTTATCGCGTTTAGTTTTTAATAGCGTTGGGAATTAAAATTAAAATGAAACGCGATAAAATCCGTAAAATTAGTTGTAATCATAGACATAGACATAGTGCATTTATTCAGCAACTTACATTCATACAGTTTTGATACAGAAAATAAAATAATACATAAAAACATCAAAGATAAAAGTAAATAACAAAAAACAGTCATAAAATGATCCAATTGCATGAGTGATGTGATGCTGAAAAGGGCACTGACTCAACATAATGCTATCGCAGGATTGCGGTAGCGTTGGTTTTCAGCAATGCCCATTGAGGTTGAACTCGCCTGCGAGGAATAGTATGTTCGCTTTATTTCTATTTTCGAGAAAGATGTTATCAAAATAATAAAATAAAATAATGGTAATGAAAATGAAAAAGGATGGGAACTTTATTTATGCAGTAGGTACATATAAATGTATATAATAAATAATATAATGAGAATTTATAATAAAACAATATAGATATTTATATTATACTATGAAAATATAATATAATGCAGCTATTTTATCCGCCCTAAATGTTAACGTGACAAAAATATTCTTTTACTTTTACCTTGAAAAGGCTGATGGTATTTAGTTGGCGGATAGGTGGGGGCAAGTTGTTCCAGCATTTAGTAGTTGCATATCGGAAACTACCACGGAATGCTGCCGTTGTGTGTTTTGGTACTGAAAGGACGTTTGATTTTGTTCGAATGTCCTTAAAATTACCGTCCTTGCGCCATTTTAGTTTTTCTAATAGATACCCGGGCTTTTTGTTTTGAAAGACACCGAACATTAGTGTTGCTAAATGTAGTTCTCTTAATTGGGACATTCTTAATAACTTTGATTTATTTAAATAGGGACTGACGTGCGTTCGTGGGGGAATGTATATACCTGGCACAAGCATTTTGGATCCTCTGAATTTTTCGGTCAGTTTTCGAAAGTAGCCTTGGTCCATATACCGTATCGGCATAGTTTAGCCTGGAGAGTACAAGGGAGTTGCAAAGCTTAATGCGCAGATCTTCACTCAAAGAGTCACGTATTCGGTATAATACTTTTGGTCTGTAAAAGCAATTACGTGCGATCTCGATCACGTGTCTCTCAAAGCGAAGCGCGTCATCCATAAGCAATCCCAGATTCTTAGCTTCAGTCACACGATTTATCTTCTCCCCGAGGACACACACATCAGGATTATTTGCAACTATTCGATTTATCTGTCGCTTTGATCCCAATACTATGTATTTTGATTTTGCTGGATTGAGTACAAGAGTGTTGGCTTCTGACCACTGGGCGATTTTCGTTAGATCTCTATTTAAGTTATTAACAGCCCAGTTAGTTTGACTTGGTACAAAGGAAAGATATACCTGCAAATCGTCTGCATACATATGATATTTACAGTTCTGAATAGCTGTACTAATATCTGCTATATACAGTATGAATAAAAGAGGGCCTAGTATGGATCCTTGTGGAACTCCTCTCGTTACAGGACAAGGACTTGATAGAGTATGTGTACCATCTTTTTTGATTATTTTAACCAACTGCATGCGATCATTTAGATAACTGGAGAACCACTTGATTGCGGTTGGATCGAGTCCATAATAGGAAAGCTTGGACAATAATAATTCGATGTTAAGAGACTCGAAAGCTCGTGAGAAATCAAGTAGTGTCATGATTGTTCCTTCACCTATATCTTGAGATGCTAAAATATTGTCCACTACGTCTAATAGTGCTGTTGTCGTGCTATGATGCTTTCTAAAACCAGACTGCAGTTTTGGTAGTATGTGATTACTCTCCAAGTACGCTTCAAGCTGTGTACATACTACTCTTTCCAGTATTTTCGACAAGCAGGGTAGTATGCTGATAGGGCGCAGGTCTTTGAAATTTAAAATGCTATTGGTTTTTGGAATTGGTGTAACCAAAGCGGTTTTCCAGACGTCAGGGAAATAAGACGTGGTTATCGATCTGTTAACTATCGCGGTGATTACTTTTAGTGTGTAAGGAAGTGTTAAAACAACCATATCCAGGCATATGCCGTCAGCGCCCAAAGCGTTTGACTTAAGTGAATTAATTATTTTGGCTATTGTGTTTTCGTCTGTAACACTTAACTTAAATGTTGAAGAACAAAATCGATGGGAGCCAAAGAAAACATGTTCTGAATCGGGTGCTGAATCATTTCCAGGTATATTGCAAAAGTGAGAATTAATCAAATCCGGATCGTTGAGTTGGTCAGGAATTACATAGTCTCTAAATTTTTCTGATATGTTTATTGTCCGTTTAAGATTGATCCAAAGAGCTTTAGAATTAGTTAAATTGTGGTTTATATGTTGATTAAAATAGGCCTGTTTTTCGCGGTATAACGCTGAGTTTACAGCATGCTTAAGTTCTTTGTAATAACTTTTATGCTTCTCTAATCTAGTTAAGCGAAAACGATTATGTGCTTCATTCCGCAGTTTTATCATTTCTCGAATAGTAAAGGTAATCCATGGATATGTACGCTCTTTTACTTGCTTGAGCTTTAGTGGCGCGAATTGGTCAAACAGGCTTAACAATGTTAAATTGAATTGAGAAACCATATCATTTACATGAGGTAATTGGGCTATAGAATCCCAGTCGACACTTTCTATTTCGAAATTAAAACTATCACGATTTATGTCTTTCACTGGGCGATACATGAACTGAATTGGTTGACATTTTGGCTTATTGATTTTAAAGTTACATCTTAAGAAAGCATGATTACTTAGAGTTGGTATGTAATCGACGGTTACGTTAGAGATTGGTAGGTCGGTGCGGTGCATATTAAATCAATTAATGTAGCACTGTAAGGAGTAAAGTGTGTAGGTTCATTTACATATTGGGCTAAATTTAGGTATTTTGTAAAGTTGTCAAATTTATGAGTATTGTTGTCAGTTACCAGTAAATTTATATTAAAGTCACCCAAGAGCACAATATTATCGCGATGGGCAAAAGATGATACTGAATCAGTAAGTGCGTCAAAAAAAATGTCTACGTCAAGCCATGGTGGTCTATAAGCAGTACCTATTATCAGATTTATGCCGTTAACAGTTAAATTAAGCCACATTTGTTCAACTGATGTTGCGGCAGGAAATACACACGTTTTTACGGCGAGTCCATGACGTACATAGAATCCAACCCCACCACCACGTGCGCGCGTGGTACTTGAACGTGGAATATGACGCAAGCGGTAACCGGGGATAGATGGCGCGCGACCTTGTTCTCCATCACGTAGCCAGGTCTCGTTTATAGCCATGATATCTACATCATGCTGCACCATTGCCACAATGAAGTCTTCATGCCTTGTACCCAAAGAACCCGGATTTAAAAAACCAACCTTCAGCTTTTGATTTTTAGGCGCCATTTTGCACAGAGAGTATAATATATATCTGAACACAGGGACACGAGCAACTTCAGTATATGCATATAAACATACGTACGCATACTTATACAAACACACTCACATACACACATATACACAAACAGGGCAGCACCGTAGCTATAGCTATAACCGTATAACAAATCAAATTCCGTGTTATCTAATATTTTTCTGAAAAGTTGAATATCATAATTTATATAGTTAGTGTAATTGAATATCGGTGTTATATAATAAATTAAATAGTTGTTTATGACATAAGTTATTATGATAATATAGAATATTATAAAATATGGGCAAAAATAAAGAAAGCATTTTAAACCGGAAAATATAAAACGTATAACATGTATAATATACGTATATACATAATAAAATGCATTATGTATCATCAGCGTCACAGCACTTACAAATAATTTGTTCAATAATGTTAAAAAGTGTAGTACAGTATTATTAAACGACATAAGCGGATACATGACAAAACGAGTAGGGCATAGACATATTAATCTAAAAATCATTTTCAAAAATTTTGTTAAATATGCAAGCACCAATAGTTTAAAAAATAGGTTCAGCAAACAGTTAAAAAAAAACAGAAAAGCAAAAGCTCCAAGTTTAGCCAACCACCGGTTCGCCAAAAAACTTGACAAGATCGATTTCACATCTGCTGTTTGAAATGCGACCGTCTCGTGTCCACACATATTTCCAACCGCTCTTAGAGCCCATTTGACGGGCCTTGAAGAATAACTGGCGATTTATACGGGTAAGACGCTCATTTATATAGAACTTCTTCGGCGAACCCGGCAGGCCAAAACCTGTAGTATCGGCACCGCGACGGACACGCGCGCTTTGTAACAGACGGTCGCGCAGCGTTCGGCGCGCCAAGCGCACAGCAAGTGGTCGTGGCTGAACAGCGCCTTCTCCTTCTATATAACCTCGCAGTGGACCCATTCGCTGGATGCTTACAATGTCCTGTTCTTCAATTTTCACATTTAATTTTTCACCAATAAGCATAACAAGTTGAGTCACGTTCTCACCCTTATGCTCAGGTATACAACTTATTTCTACATCAGTAAGGAGCTGTTCCTGATCACGATCGTTCAACTCGAACTTAAGACGCTCCAATGTGTCGCTTAGCTTTTTGTTCTCATCCTTATATTTTTCCATGCATTCGTCTTTTTCGAGATTAGCCACCCGATTCTCTATTCCATCAACTCGCTTACTTAAGTCGCTGACGGCAAGGTAAAGCCTGTCGAACTTTGTTCCAAAGTTTACAAACTCATTGCGCATAGCGACAATTTCCGTACGTAACTCCTCTATCATCTTACTTGTAGCATCACAGCCACTGCAACTAGAAGGTGATGAGTTCGAGGAACTACTCTGGCTTATTTCTGTTTGCACCTTAATCG